AGGAACGAACACGGCCTCATTACCGATCCTTGGTGTATGTCACACTGGACTTTAATTATGCAGGAGATGAATCTTCGGACTATCACATTCAGCTGACGTTTACTTATGAAGTTCTTCATTCAACTACGCAGTGGTTTACCGATTCCATAGATTGGAAATTTTTGAAGAAGAATGAGATGTTCCAGGCGATCGAATTCTTTAGAAAAGTCCAGGTATACGACGTCGACATCTTGTCTGGTGTCGGCTGACTTCGTCCAGCTCACTCGGGCTGGTAGCAAGTTTGTGGTGCGGGACCGGTTGCGGTGGAATCCATGCTGCTGTGACACATTGGTGTTTTATCTCTCAAGATATCCCATAAGCGCATCTACGATTATTACATCCATAAGTTTGGATAACCCTGACAGCAGGATGATTGGACGGTATTTTAAGGCTCTACACGATTCCTACTCTTGTAAATAGGAGTTACTGTTTCTTGGTTATACACGGCTGGGACCTGCATTTCTTCAAAGCTTCTTTGGAAGAAACTGACCAACGGTTCGGCAAGGTTCATGTCGGCTGTTCTTTATGCTATCGGTCTGATATTGTCTACCCCTGGAGAGCCGTGCACGCGCAAGTACAGTAGCCATTACATAAATTTTCCAGCGGTTAAGAATACGTAGCTTACTCCTGGGAGCGGAGTGATCTATGTCATGAGCGGGTGAGGTTACGATTCACTGGCAAGTGCGGATAAACTGTTGCCGAAGCGCGTTAGCCACATCCTGTTTAGTGAGCACCAGACTATCCATTGCGGGTAGAACTGCGATTCCGCGCTGCAATCTACCGAGCTTGTTTACGTATCTGTTGAACATGTTAGTGTAATTCGTCGTTAAGTCCTGTTGACGGTTAAGTTTGTAGTTGCAGACCAATTTGGCACGGTAATTCCACCAAGAGAATATAGGCATTCCAGACCTGCGTATCCGGACGGGCTTCGTAAGTTTGTCATGCCAAATCCCTTAGGGCTACGCAGTTTCGTGCCCGGCTCCTCAGGAAGGACTTTATTTGCTTCGGGCGAAATTTGTTAGTTTCGGAGGCTTATGCCACTAGTCTAATGAACAGGGTGACCAATTCCTTCCAGGCGACGTCGGGAGGCTGCACAGCTAGGAATAACAATTTACTTCCTCTAACGAGGTCAGCGAGTGTACCGTAATGGGTGACAACGTGAACTTACTTGCTGTTATCATTTTTGTATTCCGCGTGGCAGCTGTGGTGGAAGAACAGTGCCGTGTGAATGCTACGGCCAAATGGTATAATTATATTTAGTGGATTAGTCATTGGTTACACTTTCGTGAACACAAGATCTAAGACAGATGGTTCGTCGCCAGTTCTGAATCCCGTAGTAACGGTGACGGGGTTGTAGAGCGGTATATCGGCGATTAATTTTTGCAAGTCCGCTTTGTATTATCCTTGAGCAAAGCTGTGATTTCTATTGGAGGCAAGTTGATATCCCCCACCAGAATTACCTGACTGTTTGACCGTACTGTGAGGCGCTTTATAGCAGACGCTGGGTAGTGTTCCATCTCTAGAGTGGACCTTAATGCGCGGTATACAATTGTATGCAAAGAAACCTTATCGCTCTCAGACGCAGATGGCACCAGAGAGAATCGACAACCTGTAAATCCGGATCGTCGTTGAAAGCAATATGGAGATCAGATCTGTGATACAAGAGCACTTTGCCTTCTCTGCAGGGTCCATATTTTCATAGGATGCTCATGCCGGGCAGGGCTATTTTGGCTTCAGTGATCTCAGTATTTAGCCATGTCTCAGTTGTTGTGCTGATATCCCATGGAGTTTGAGCTATACGAGTGAAGAGCTCAGATAATTTGCTGACAAGAATTTGAGCGTTGGTATACAAGCAGTTGAGGGAGTCAGATTTTAGTTGGGTATCTGTAGATGCGGCTTCTTGGTGAGGGTTACGCGGACCCGTGTGGGGTCGGTATTCGGACGTTTTCTTGTTGATACGCAATCGCATGCTGCAGGGCAATTCCGGGTTTGTAGGTAGAGTTCTCAGCGTTAGTAGATGGCTGCAAAACTAGACATCCTTCAGCTGACGGAGAGTTTTGACTGCATCCCGGTTCTAAGCGCTGAAGGCGTCATCTCGCCGATTTGTCTCCTGGAGTCCGTTGATTTTATAACTATTGCCGATGGCAGCTTCTAGTGCCGTTTTAACCACCCTTCTAACACGCATGCCGCCATGGGTTTGGTTTGCAGTGTTACTTTATCACCCATGAACCGCTCCCTCTGTAGTTAAGTGATTATGACAACCTTGAGCTCGGATTGGTAATCATATTTTCGAGTGCGTATACTTTGCTGATGAAGAGCTTTTCTTCTAAGTCATGCGCTTTTCCTCTAAGTCAAAGTCTGAAGCTCGAGAACATCTTTGACAATGAGCGGTTTTACGTCTTTCTTTTTTCAGTAGCCTCCCGAGTTTAGTTCGCTTACCTAGCGTTCGCTCAGCGGAATATCTGAAAACATTCGAACAGTGCATTGTGTTATTCCTAAGCGAGTGACTGACAAGAGAATTGTCTTTGCATCCTATCCTGATTGAAGGATTACTTGGCTTACTCGTGATGCATCGTTGTGTGCCGAGGTTGATGATGAACAATGCGCTCATACCGATCTGCTTCGCATGTACTCCAGTTAACTGACAGATGGCGCCTCAATATTTCTGGTCATCTAGCGGTTTGCTTTGGATGTACTTCGTTTCGGATGCAGACACATTGGCGCATATGACACCAAGAGGGCCTTGGTACTGTTTGTTGTTCTCTTTTTCAGAGGAATGTTGGGCTGTTTTCCTTGGTCTGACAACTGGTGGCACACTATATGCTTTGGTTGTATTTGTGGTTATAACTGCTCCTAGTGTGACAACGATCGAGGCTATGGCGGGTGTTGCCTCGCGCGTGTGGGTGGCAACAGTAATCGCGTGCGTTGTTGCTCCTTCAACCGTGTTGCATGTACCGCGAGGCGTTGATGAAGTACTCTGTCAGAGAGCATCATTAGAAGTGGACACCCGTACCGTGGCTGAAGTCAGCATGCTTGAAATGTTCAACTCTTGACCATTGTTCTTACTCCTGGCTTGGTTGCTCTGTTCCGAACTGGAGTGTGATATTGCACATCCAGCTCAAGGATCTGCTTCCTTTGGGTCCAGTGGGGCAGATCTTTCGGCAGTTGCTCCCTATACAATTCCTGCCAGTCGGTCGCACATTTGTATCAGCTTTACTATGCATCCCCCAGTGGAATAGCCATACACACTGTGCAGAACCAAAAGGAAGCATTCGTGTTAGTTCGTTTCTTTGTCTTGCTTAGGCCAAGGAGACGATATTTAGGATGGTATCTTTTTCACGACGGTTACTGCTTTCTGTTCCAGTTCGTACATTTATAATGCAGCTTCCGCAATTAAGGTTAGATTGTAATTCTCTAAGCTTAGATCTACGTGTGCAGGCAATGCGCACCATGATGATTGCCAACTCTGTCACACCAATGGAAGTGTCGTTTTCCGCGAGGTCTATCCGAGCAGTTGCTGTGATATTGGCGCTCACACGCTTGATGAATGTTCTGTGACACACGAAGACAAAACACACATATGAGGTGATATGACTGACGGCTGGCGGATTGAATGCGTTAGATATTATCGTGTCAGTACAAGATCTATGTACTTAACTGACACATTAGGCAAGTTGACTAAGATTCATTGTATGCAACCATGTTACTCAAAAGGGCTTCAAACGCTAGCAGCTATCTGCTAGCGGGTGTGGTCATGATATTGGGATGTGTGATGAAAGAACTGATCACTTAAAACTTGAAATTGTACCATTGATATGCAGAGGAAATCTGATGTCGCAGGCCCAGAAACCCTGCTCTTCACGAAGCGCTTCGACCTTATTTGTTCTCATCATGGAGAGTAAGCAAACCTCGAACCCTGGACCGTTAAGCTGTTAACTGGGACCTGTACCACTTTATCCACCAGGTCAAGATAGGCAATGTTTAATTAAGTACGACACAGCTTTGTCGCTAATATTGTTGTAGCTTTCAGAGGCATATTTGATAAGCGTTGAAGATATAAGGGGGCTGACCGTGTAGGAGAACTAAGGTCTGTTCATGCATGGTTGGCAAATAAAGCAGATTTTCCGGATGCGCGTTATCTGTTGGCTGACAATGGAACCTCTGGTTCCACTTTGAACTGCCTGTTACCTCATTAATCTCCATGGTGTCTCAGTCAGTTACCCCACATGCAATTGTGATAGTTTTCTTGAATTTTGCTCATTTCCAACGTCTTGCATTGGTGGGTGAACCCCTGAGGTAGTCACTCGTTGATCGGGAAGAAGAAAGTGAACAAGTTCGGTGATGTGCTAAGTCAGATTGCAGTCCGTCACGTTTCTGGATGTGGACCTCGATATCAAGCGAATAGGGGTTTTTTGTGTATTTAAGTATAATTCTAGCATCAAGTCCGCAGCGTTTTCGTTTTCGCTTCCTTTTTCCTGAGCTATGACTACGTTAAATGAATGCTATCTATTTCCCCTTTCCTATATGACAATTAACAATACTGGTATAATTATTATTATTTCTGTACTTATTATCATAGTGATCTGAATCTATGGAATTTTATTCACTTTGCATGGGTATGCAAATCACAGAAGGTTTAATGAAACGAACCAAGTAGGCAAAATGGAATCGAAAATTTAGGATTCAAATTTAAAGCTTGCGAATGCCTAGTACTGTTCGCCTTACGTTCTCGTCAAATAAACCAAAGATATCCCACTCATTTCAAATCCAAATGAAGTTCAAACTTTAAGGCATTTTATTGGTCTTGGCCACAATACATTGTTACGTAGACAGACTCTACCGACTCCAGGACGAGCAAAAGCAGAAACCACGTTACTTTACGTATTGCTCCGACGAATATTCATTTAAATGTAGTGTTGAACCAACAAGTAGTGATATCGGAAGAGATCTTTAAAACTTACACTGCTCTGAATTTCAGGAAGATGGGCGATGGTCGGTGTGGTCAGTTTTTTGACCGGTGAATCTTCTGTTCCTGCTGAGATGGAGACGTTACAGTTAGCTGGGTTATGCTCAATAATCCAAACTGGATAGTGTTCTATGAAAAACCAACTAGGTGATGGTAAGTCACGTATTCGATAAGTGCTCGTTGGCAAAAGTTATTTCCGCAAAATTGTTGCATCTTAAATGTATTGTGAATGGAACCACTATAGACTACAAGCATGCGCACTCGATATCTACCAACACTGATGTTCTTACAACACTTCGCAAAACCGTTAATCGATGTAAAGCATATCAAGTTTCACTCGAATGGACATTTTTGCTATAACCTTTGGCACCGGAGGAGAATCGGTGAGTTGGGTCTAAACAAATGTGAGCAACATATTGATCATGTGCAGGGTTAAAGTCGTTTGTAGCGCAAGTTTCCACTAACTCGGAAAACACGTAGGTAACATCATCCTAACCTTAGTTCCGACTGCAAGGGAAGTAGGCACAATTGCAACAAGGCATCCGGGTATTCCCGAATATGCCACGTCTCTAGCGAGTGATTAGCGCTTGTCCATGTTGCACTCTGACTGCATTTGTTGCTGGAGCGATACGAGTTTCAGATGTAGACGGTGCTCAAAGCCACATCCAGAGATGGGTAGCTCAGTTAACATTTACATTCAGCCCAACAGGGGAAATACCCTCACTGCATGGGTTTGGTCATGCGGGGGACTTTCTAGAACATACGTTCAACATAACTATTTAAACGTCTTCGTTTAACTTATCGAGGGTGCAAATGATTCAGAGGCTTCCATCTGCCGTACCCATTTATTGCACAGGTTTTCGGATTGATCCGATGATTACACAGACTTCGGTATAGAGTAAGATGCAGCAGGTTGCTACTTATGGGTTTGAGCTTAACCATTTAACGTGTGCGTAAACGCTTAAGACAATATCAATTACCCAAAACAGGCATAACATACAGCCATAAATAATTTGACTAGGACATAAATCTGTCCCCGAGTTATACGAACAGCAGGACAGGTAAGTGAACGGGCCCGCACTCGATAAATTGGAGCGTTTAGAGACCCGTATGGCAAATGTGCTTTTGAGAAAGATAATTAGAGTAAGATGGCTAAGTAATCCGTTTCTTCCTTCAACAGATCACAGAAAGAACAGCATGCACAACCATACGTAATTATTTCGGTGAAATATACCGTAATTCTTACGGCTGTCTGACTGAAGGAAGAAACACGAATGAGACGGAATTTAAGGAGTTCGGCAGAGATCCACCGACAAGTGCTGATTTCAGGCAAACTCTGCAAAAGCCTTAAAGCTCAAGTTAGGATGTAAGCGACAAATACACTATAAATTAGCGAAACGCAAGGAGCTGCATGCTCCAACCATCACAAAGTCAAAAAACCGAACAGCGTACGGTTCATAGAAGATATAAACATGCAATACGGATGTGTGATGCTACAACGGGGTCTTTTCAAGGTGCATATATAAAGTGAAAATCACCATATTTGCGACTGTATCATCAAATCGCAAAACCAGAGTCCACAACCAGATTTCCACAGTCATACACTGTGTCAAAAGTTTCTACCCAATGGAGATTTGGCTGAATAGCACATAAAAGGATACAATGCACTAGATTCACGGGTAGCTACTGGGACGTTAAACTATCATGCGGCAGGTGTATGCGAAGGATTGCATGAAAAACTGGCGGACAGATTTGACCTATGGTGCAAGTTGAACAATGGGATGTGAGCGGGTGTAACAGCTGCGGTTGGAACAAAAGCGTGTGTGGCATCGAATAGGAATACAAAGGCGGTATGATGAGCCCGTGGTAGGCTGAAGTTGAACAGATGAAGCATGTGACGATAGTGGCGACCTAGAGCAGGATGGTGATTGTGCTGACACGAAATATTCCATAGATGTGGATGAGGAGTTTAAACAGTGGACCACGATTTAAAGTTATTGGGTGCAGCGCCATCAGTACAAAATGACTTTTCTACGTTCCACAAATGTTTCGTGTCATGCAAAGTCAACTTAAGTAACAGTGTGCCAGTAAAGTAGTGCAGCAGCAACCGACTAGAAACGGATTTGATTTGTAAAAATTCCTTCTGTATTTTGCTACATTAATACGACACTACTTCCATCGAGCTAGTGTCAAAACCAGATGAAATTTTGACGGCAGTGTTGGTGATTTGTTTTGAAACCGATAGGTATCGGGTGGCATATACATATAAAATTCACCATGTTCCAGGTCAGCAGAATACCTCAGCTGATATCCTTAGTCGGCCTCCTTTACCATAGGTGCATTCGGATGTGTTTTCTCCAATAGAGCTCGTAAAGCTGGTCCAGTATTTCGATAATTCCCTGCTCACGTCATTGAGCATACGTCAGGAAACTGATAGCCATTGTGAAACGCTACGTCTAAGATGGATGGTCAAATGACCTAAGTAGTGAATTGACGCCTTTCCGCAATAGAATGTCTTATCTCAGCCTCTAGAATGGACGTTTACTGTGAGACGCACTATTCATAGTCTTCAAGAGATTTCGGCCCTGTATCCTCGGTCAACTACAGGATGCACACCAAAGCGTTACCGAAATCTGGTTGCCAGCTCGCTTTAGTGTGTGGTGGTCCCAGTTTGACCTTGACCTTGTGTCGATGGTTGAAAGCTGCAGACTTTGCCAATGGAACGCAAACGCTACCCACCATCCATGCGCCAATGCAGCCATGGAAGCAGCCATAACCAACCTGGAAAAGCATCCGCTTAGACGTTTCGCTCTTTTCGAAGGTCGGGAGATTTTGTTGTTCGTTTTTGTTAATTCTAAGTGAATCGAGAACCACATTCTTGCTCTAACAACAAACGTTTAAAAGACAATTAAAGTGCGCGTAAAGTTTACGACATTTAGCTTCCCCGAAGTACTAGTATCTGACAACGGGCCAGCGTGTGCCAGTGCAGAGTTTCGATTAGGAAACTGGCTTAAAGCCAACATATTACATGTTGTCAGTACCGTACCTACGATAAATAGGTCGAATATGTAAAGAATTTAAGTGGGATATTTCAATTACTACTGCCAGTACCATGCTTACTCCTAATATCGTTACTGTTGCTACATGCATATCTTTAGATTAAGAGAAGCATCGCCTCATCAACTATTGGATTCAAGGGAAGAACTTGGGGTAGGGCACGAAAAATTTTTCATTTACGCCATTCAGCACGACCTGCGTTATCAGTGCGCCTGCGCTTTACCAACGCTTATCTGCTACACGACTACCTATATTGGCGGGAGAGCTGAATTTATCGCGAGATGACTTCGCATAATTGGATTCGAATCAGCGACCTCCGGATTATAACGACAGCACGCTATTGTGTCTGCCTCCGGCCGACATTCAGTTTGAGAATTTAGTGCATATAGACAGAGTCAAACTTGCACTGGCAGACCCTGTTTCATTTACACACTGTACACTTTGTCGCAAATTGCGTGACTTTCCTGTTACACCAATCCATGCAGTGCTCGAAGATTTTTCTTATTTTCCATATGCCATTTTGCAGTACGCCTCTGTATTTCACATTTTCGTATCATTTTGACGATCTTTAGCTACTAAATAAATTTGCTCTGGAAAAATACAAGCAGTAATTGGTTCCAACGAATTTACAAAATTGAACAACTTTTCGCTAATAGTCGCTTGTACAATTTCGCACCGTTACAACAATCCACCCTGGATTTTAGTATGTTTCTATAAAAGATTCTTTTAGCTTTGATCAAGCGTTTACTTTATCCTTTTTAAGGTTTGTTACCCCTATATAGCAAGCTAGGTTACCATTGTGAACCCTACTCATGGAGGCAACCGTCAACTTCCGCCGCTCCAGATTTAAGCTTGTGCGATCACCAAACCGATCAGCGTGATAATCGCTTACACCAGAAACCCTACCCGCTATCGTATTGTAATGTGGCGGAAGCTAACGACTACTCGTTAACCGGAAAGACAAAATAAACTGGATAGTAGACAGTTATCTACGGGCGTAATGGATGAGACGAGACAAGGCATTGCGAGCGTTGCGGAGAGAGCCGACAGCAGACCACGAGCAGCAACTTATAACCAGCTTAGGCCCAGAACAACGGAGGAGGTAGTTGTCGAGAACGCAGTGAATCAGATACAAATGCCGCTAGCGAATTCCAAAAGATTGAACGCTGACCGATTGATACAGTCACGGGAAAGTAAATCGCGAGCTTTATAATGATTCCTCTTGACGGCCAGAATCGGGTATTGCGAAGCTGCGATATGGACGGAAAATTTGGAGGGATTGTCCTGAACCTCATTGCCGCAGGCACAAATGAATGACCTGTTTCAAAATCCTCATCCGCGTTGCGTTGTGGAAAGGAAACACGGTCTATACCTGCAAAGTTTCGTAGGTGGTCAGTTGTTCATTGTTTGGCAATACAGGCGCTGCCTCTCTGCTGCACCGTTATCTGTAGGGTATGACGCATGAAAGCAACGCGCCAAGCATGCTGAACCGGTCGTCTGAGTTTTACCTGACGATCGGTGGCCGAGTGCTAGCTGACGGTGAACCGTTGTTTGATCCGTAAAACAGGTGGAGGCCGTTCGGCCAGCATGGCCACAACAACGGTAACCAGATACCAAGTATTTAGTGCTACACAAACATGTGCTAAGCTAGGAAAAGTAGGGTTGACATATTTTCATTGCAGTAGCCGTTAACATCTGCAGTGTAGCAGAGTATAAGTAAACAAGTATAAGTAAGTATAAGTAAGTATAAGTATAAGAGTACACCGCGCTCACTTTGGTTCTGCACTAAGTATACGACAGTTCCAATTGTAACATGTGTACTAACATTCGCACAGAAGTATGACAGTCCAAGCGCCGAAACGGTAGATCATTTTTACACGCAAATCACTTCGAAATTGGCGAAATTCCACAACTCGCACCTCATTATTTCCTGTAATTGATACCACGAAACCTCGGAAAAGTGCAAACGTTATCACAACCACGCAGCACCAGATGCATTGGTAACCAGG